TTGGGTTGTCACAGGAGAAGGAAGCTATGTTTCAAATATGGATAATACCTCAGAAAAGCCACAGCTATGATCAGTTGTGAAAATATTTGAAGTTGTGAGAGCTCACAGGGTAGACTAAGACATAGGAAGGTATCTTGATTCTCCTATTCTTGCAAGTTCGGGTACCAAGATGAAAGCTGTAAACAGGAAACTCCATTTACTTAGAAACCAGAGACCAGGATCCTCTCCTAAGACTAGATAAACTTACAGCAGTACATGAAGTAGTCAAGTAGCAGATTTTTATGACAGTTTTATCTCCATTTTCTAAAATGATCAAAATATTTTCTCATTAACTTAGAAAGCTGCATTGAGAATGTTGATCATCCTGATAGGTTTCAAATTCATAACTTTCTATAGCAGCATGCCAACCACAAGGTTGTAGGTTGCTAGGAGAAAAGGAAGAAGACTTGGAGCAGGAGAGACTAATGGGCAAAAGCATCAAAATGCAGGATCTGTGGACTCAGAACAGAAAAACATAAAAGAAATGCTTATACAAAAGCTTTGAGCATATAGTTTAACCATGCACATTTTTATGTTCCTGATTCTACACTGATCATAATTATTTAATTTAAATGAATAGTTTTGACCACAGAGACTTGCAAACTAAATTTCTCAGTTAATGTTTGAATTAGAAAATCATTCCCTCACTTATTAACCTTTTGGGTTCCCATTAATACTGATTTTTTTACTTCCCATTGACAAACTTGACAGAAACACAGTAAAATGCCTAACTCATTACTTTCCTAGTGACTCAACATTTAAGCATGAAACTCTGTTGTGTGAGGAAGGTACAGTATTCAGTCCTTTTGCGTCTTTCTTTACGGTACACTATTAGACAGTATCTCATGGTGGGAGGATTTGCCATCTTCTTTCAGAAACTGTATTTTCATATTTTTGTATGTTTTATGGAAATTGTCAGTGCTTGCTTTACGTGGGTCAGGCATATCTGGCATAATCTTCTTGGAACTGTCTCTTAAACAAAATGTTAATTGAATCCTGAGTTCTCCGCTCCTGCACACAACCAGAGGATCTGGGACTGGTTTACAGATGGGCTTATCATTTATGGGTGCAACTGAGAACAGAGGAAGTAGTGGGAGAAAAGTGCTATGTGCTCTGAAACCAATCAATTCAATGTTTTTTTTGTTTTGGTTTTTTTTTTTTTTTATCTCTCTTTCTGGCTTACCCTCCCCCCCCCGCCCCCCACACACACACACACTGTAAAAGAGGGCTGTTGTAAAAATAAACCTGTTACTAGTTTGTGAGGCACGTACTGAGTGTAGTGGTGAACAGTGCCAAGGGCTCATGAGGAGTTACCTCTTCATAGGATTTGAACAGTGTGAGGCAAACAAACCATGCTACCACCCACTCAGGAGGGAGGGATTAAAATACTAACTCTTTGCCTATTAAGTGAATCCCATTCATGTTGGGGGTTGATTAGTAAGTCACCTGAAAAGAGCCATCGTGATTGTGTAAAATCTCCATTATAAACTTTGAGGCTCTGATGGATGTATCACAAGTCTTTGCACTGGTATTTTCCAAGCATTTTGTGGCTGATTTGTAAATCTTAATTATAAATGCATATTATAGATTTTTTCCTAACAGTTTTGTCTTAGGAAATGTAGATTAAAAAAAAAAATAAATCTTTAAATATCCACTGCATCTATTGACAGTTTTGTCATGGCCGCTCTAAACCAATTTGATATGCATGTTTCCAAGCAATTTCAAGCAATCAGACCATGTTCTAACACTAACTGTTAACAGTAAAGCATCTTTTCTTTCTTTTTACAATGGAAATATGGAAATAGAATAATTGGGTAAGTACTTTATAACATGCCCTATCTAACGCTTCAGTCTTCTTAATAGGACTATCCACATAACCTTACTTATGCATAGATATACTATACCATTGGCATGACAGGATGTTCTTCAGATACATGCAAAAAACTCAAATTAGTAAAGTAGAATGTATTTATTATTACACAGCCATAATCTCTCATTATATAAATCCCACAATATCTAACATTACATTAAAACCAAGAATTCAAGATTCTCCAGCTTTATGTTTAGCTTAGATGTAGAAACAGTAACTAAAACTCCACTGAAAAACAAATCCAGCTGAGCTGAAAAAGGATACCAGTACAAAAATCCCATACCAAGCTGAGGAGACCAGCTGGGAAAAACATTAATAAAAAGAAACTAACAAACAAATGAAAACCCCAAACAAGACTCCAACTGTTGGAAAGGATGGATAAATATAATTGCCTGGCAAAAGATTCAGCCAGGATGAAAACAATCCCCCTGCTGGCTGGACAATACCCTTACCTACAGATAGGTCCAAAAGTCAAATGGACTGTTCCATCTCAACCCCCAAAATGTATGGTTCACCCCACATCTGTAACCCTCCCCTGAAACATCAAGTGTCTGTGACCCCATTGGCCCAAGTCTTGTTCCAGCCCAACTTGAAGCCCCCCTGATGAGGGGTCTCCGAGGGGCCAGACGCCCTCTTGGAACTTCCCCTCTCTTGGAACTCCCCCTCTCTTGGAACCCCCACCCTCTTAGAACTTCCACCCTCTCCTAGAGCATCCTCTCTACCCCTTGTCTCTCCCCTCCCCCATTCCCTCAGGCCTTGCCACTTGTGGTGTCTGGCAGCTCGAAGCAAGACCTTTCACCATCCCTAATAAACCTGATATTCTAACAGCAGCCTTCAGAGATCTCTCGTCTTCATTCATCGAAGCCGTCCTGGAGCACAGCACTCCCTACATCCAACCAAAACTCTTTTGGAGCTACAAGGATACCAAGTAGACACTAAACATTAAAAAAAAAAAAAAAAAAAAAAAAAAAAAAAAAAAAAACAAAAAAAACCAAAAACAAAAAAAGACAAAGCAATTTACGTATACAGAATGAGTGAGATATAACTTTCCGAGGCATCAGAAGATTGTTGGATCATAGAACTTTCAAGCACAGAACTGCCATTTTTGCACCACTTGACCACCTCTTGACGTAACACACAAAGTTCATAGAGGTAAATGAAAGGTTCTTTGATAAGAAACAGAGGGTCAAGTCTTAGACTCTAAAACTATCTAAAACATTTTCATTCCTCAAAAGGCATAATTTTCATTAATAATGAAGTCACATCTCCTGAAGCAGTTATTTTAAATCTGAAGAAATTTGAGCATATTTCTTCAATAGGATTATGAGCTACTGATGACTAGATGCATTGTTTCAGTAGCAATGAATGAAGAACATGAAATAAACAGATTATGAAAATCAAGAGCAGCAAAAGCAGTAATCAGATACATAATGTCACAGAGTACATACATTCTATCAACTCTTATGTACAAATCAAGTGGTGCCACTCAGAATCCACAGATTCTACAGAATCTACAGATCAGTGACACACCTAAATGAAACGTCCATAGAATGAAACTATATTTGTATTAGTTTTTAACCTCTCCCATTCCCTCTTTAAAAACCTTGAAGATATAATTTCAGGGTTGGTATTTTGCCTGTCTTTGTAGTGTATTTGATAACAATTTGAATTGAATCCTAGGATAAGCACCTTCTTGTTGCTCAGAACAACTTCCAGTGTTCATAAAAATGTCAGTAATACTTTTGCTTTAAAAATATATCCTAAGTCACTTACCAACTATTCCACGTGTTTAAATTACACTGCTTTTATGAAACTAACTATGCTAACTGACAAAACAATACAAGAGTCAAGGAGAGAATATATGCTTTAGGGCTCTCTGAAAACCTGTAACATACTCAAAGTTATACACCCATATGTTTATCTACAACTGTACTAATCAAAACATATGCATAGTGCTGTCTCTTCATGTAATAAAATATTTAATACTATATGTATTACTTTCAATATGAAAAAAAAAAAAAGCCTAAAACAAATAATTTCTTTCATTTCTTTTCATGTTTAGAAATAGAACAGTACATTTGTCTCCCTAGGGAAAAAGAATACAAACAAACAAACAAAAAACAAGGGAAATTAAAATGAAGTAACCTTAACTGTGGGGAGGTGGAGGCAAGCAGAGTAAAAGTAATGAATCATTTTACCCTTAGGACTATCTGTATCGGAGTTTTTCTGAAAGCTCTCTGTTAGCTACATTTCCTTCTTCAAATGATTTTAACTTGTGTTTCAGGTGGGCATGAGGAGGGCAGGGAATGGGAAGGAAAAGCAATTCAGCATTAATGCATTTGTATGAAACACAAGAATCTGGATATGTTTTTCTTGCTCTTACAACCTCTTATGTGTCACTCGGTTGATGACACATGAAATTCTTATAAGTCTTATTTTTCTCTGAGGTAGGCTGTAACACCGAGTTTCAGGAAAGCAGATGCTTTTACTTTCGAGCTTTCACCTGTCATCCCAGTACCCAGAACACCACCTTCCGCTAGCGTTTTAATAAACTTCTGAGAAAGTTGGGTAGGGACGATCTCCAGCGCGGAGCGCCGGCTTTGAGAGGCGCTTGCTCTCGGGGCCAACCCCACGGACAGGAGCAGCCCAGGAGCGAGGGCGGAGGTGGGGACAAGGAGAGGGAGAGGGAGAGGGAGAGGGAGAGGGACAGGGACAGGGACAGGGACAGGGACAGGGACAGGGACAGGGTCAGGTCAGGGGCAGCCGCAGACCAGGAGCAGGGGCAAGGCCAGGGGCAGACCAAGGGCAACATCCCTGGTCCTCCGCACCCTGACCATGAGGCTGGCCGGTCTCTCCTGGGACTCTCGGCAGCCCTCCAAGCGCCCTTCCCTCCGCCTCCAAACCCTGCCAGTTCAAACACGAGGAATCGTCCCGCCTCCAGACCCTCACCCTCCCGCAACAACGCCAGCACACCGGCCCGGCTGCGCTCCCGCCCCGCCACTGCCCCCGGGGCCGCGAAGCCCCGCGATGACCCCGCGGATCCGACCGCGCCCGCCGCGCAGGCGGCGCCGGAGCGGCCGCGCTCCCCTACCTGTGCCCGCCTCCGTCACCTGTTGCCCGGCCGCCGCCATCGGCGCAGCCCCCCGGCGCATCCTCCCGCTCCGGCGGCGCCTGGGGCTTCTCGGGCTCGCGGGCCACCTCCATCCCGCCGGGCACCGCCTCCTCCTCCTCCTCCTCCAGGGACTCCACGTAGAAGACGGTGCGGGGCGGCGGCGGTCCCGGGCCGTGCCCCGTGGCCGGCCGGCCGCCGGCGGACAGCAGCGTCCCGTTGGGCGGGCTGGCCGTGGTGGCCGCCGAGGAGGAGGCGGAGGAGGCGGATTTCTTCCAGAAGACGCCGTTGCCTCTCTCCTGGCTCTTCAGCAGGCGGCTCTGGCTCGGTCCCCAGTGCTCGAAGCTGCTGTCGGGCGGCAGGCAGCCTCCCCCCGCCGGGCCGCCCGCCGGCGAGGGGTGGCTGAACAGTTTCCAGCGGAGGCGCAGGATGTGCTTCACGTCGAAGTCTTTCCTGCCGGAGCCGGACATGGTGCCGCGGCGGGCGGGGGACGGGCGCGGGCTGAGGCGGGACTCACGGCGGCCAGGCAGGGCCAGGCGGCGGCGGCAGCGCGGGGCGGCCCCGCTCCGGCGGCGGCGGCGGCTACTGCGGGCAGCGCTGGGCTTGTAGGGCGAGGAGTGGCAGCCGCCGGGCGGAGAGAGATGCTCGCACACACTAGCGCGGAGAGAGAGGGAGGATGGATGGAGCGATGCACAGAGCCAAAAGGACGTAGAGACACCCAGCAGGAAAGGGAGAAAGAGAGAGGGAGAGATGCTCAGAGCTGACGGGAACTGCACGGTGATCAGTGGAAAGGGGAGGAGAGAGAGGCAGAATTGAGAGACATCTCTCAGGGGAGACGGACACTTGCGAGGGAAGAGCGGGTGAGGGAGGCTGCGACGACGCGCTAATCTGATTAACGGGGGAGCCAGCTACAGCCCGGAGAAGAGCGGCGGCGGCAGCAGCCACAGCGGGAGGCAGGTGGCACCTCCTCAGCCTCTTAGAGCTCCGTTACCGAGTGCAGTCAGAGAAGAAAAAGTCACCTGGAAACCTCTCTCCACTTCCCTCCTTCCCATCCCGTTTCTCTGGGGAGTCCCATGCCTGCCGTTATCTGGGATGGCAAAGCCTGAGAGCTGGCACAGAAAGAAATCGGGGCTCCTTTATATGCACTGTACGTAGGAGGGGAAAAAAAAAATCCCGCCCGTGAGGCTGTCAAGGTCCTCAGTATACAATTTTCTGTCTATCTCGGCGCCTCTCACCAAGCCGCCCCCTCCCTTGCATGTGACGCAGATGTGCTCTGGGGCCGTCAGTGTGAAGAGACAGAGGGAAAAGGAGATGATTCAAGCTTCATCATGCAAGTAAGTCGGCAGGTCACTAATTGCCCCTCACAGCCTCCTCTTCTTCTCCCTCCAGTGCAGGTCTCCTCACCTTGGTATTTTGGTTCAGAGGCAGCTGTATATTACTGGAAGCAAAATAAAGTACAACAACAAATGTATCAGCAGCAGTAAACACATCAATGTGAATAATAGGAGTACAGATTTAATAGACTGCATGCAGACTGGATGAGGTTGCAGGTTAACGATGTATGCTGCAGGTTCCATTCATTAACCTGTTGGCTCAGTGTTGCTGTACCACTAGAAAACATTGGCTAGTGGTACAGTGTGTCAAACAGAAATAGCACAACATATCTACTTCTTACCTTTCATACCTGCTCTTAATGCAGTCTGACAGTGATAAACCCAAGGGAGGTTCCTTTCACAACATAAGAGATCTGCTTAGGAACATCTGCCCACTTGGGAGGCATGTCACAGAGTACACTGCATTGGGGACATAATTACAGAATTAAAAGCTTTATGGTGAAATATAGAAGGGGGATATGTCAGCAAAATTGCATATTGCCACCTGGCTCATAAACTCCATGCATGAGAACTTGGTGGGAATAAGATGATACACAGAATACCTGCAATTCACCTTTACCTTACTAAATAATGTTTTAGAAGATTTATCCCTACGAAAACGATGAAACAGATTGTATTTTCAACCAAAAATCTTTGCATTAGTCAGCTTTACCCATGCACTCATGAGCTCTCAAAAGTTTGTTGTTCTTACTCTATGAAATCAAGAAATAAGGTTGAAGGACTTATTTCCCTCAAGCTGGAATGTTTTTTTTTAACTCCTCATTCATAAAGTATTATAGCTTGAAAATTCCTCCAAGGAAGCACACAAATCAAATATAAATTAAAAATTTTATTACTCTTATATTTACTTCATGACTGAAGCATTACTGTTTTGTTTAGTTTGTCAGTGGAGTAGTGCCTCTGGATAAAAAGTGATATTAGGGTTTGTGTTTAACACTGATAAAGTCTTGGATTTAACAGTACAAGAATTCAGGGCACCCAGTCCTACTTTAAAAGGAAGAAAAATTGCCACTGTGCATTTTAGATATTGATTTATGCCACAACAGCTGGACTGAAAACTCCCTGGTTCCTCAACTTTTTTTCTCAGTATTCAGTGATTAAAAATGAGACGAAAACCTTTCTAAATCAAACAGAAGATACTGTTCATTTTTATCCAGGAACTGATCTGAGTATGTGCTGCTTAGGAGAGCAGCGGGAAGAAATGCCTAGAAATCTTCATCTGGAATAGGACAGATGTGGGACAATATTTTCTGAGAGTCTAGAAATGCATCTCTTATGATGAAATATATGAAATAATCTGTAGTGAAAACTGGCTACTTAGTGTCTAGTTACATGCTCTAAAAGATGGGGGTATCTTCATATAAAATACTTTTAATCAATTAATATATAGATAGACAGAATGCTATGTCTTCTGTGTTTAATACCTCTTAACTGATTAGGCCTATTCAGATATTCTGATTTGAGGAAAATCGCATCATTTCTTGCCATGTTAGAAATCTTAGTAATTTTTAAATTTGCATTAATATTTAAATTGATAATTTGATGTGAACTATTGATAAGTTAGACATTTATTTCACCTAAATAGATAAATATAAATGACATTACATTCCAACAAAGTATATTTTCTAAATATACTTGGGAGGTCACTCAATGAATATATATTATAGTGCAACCCAAGGAAGTGATTTAGATTTTTTTTATCACCTGTCCATGCAGTACAAGCTATCAAGCAATTAAAAGGAAAAGAGGTAGAAAATACTTTAAGTTATTTGTTATTCATATGTTTTTATTTCAGTTATGTCAGTAACTGAAAAAAAGTCTTGGATGTTTTTTTAATAACTAAAATCTCAGCTTTTCAATATATCATGTATAGGACTGACATACTTCTTAACATTACTTGATCCTTTAATATTTAGTACATAAATCATTTTTTTTGCAGTAAAAGATGCATTAATTTGGCATGTATGCCTGCTTTTTCTGGCATGAAGATGTATGAACACTTGAGTATCATAAAATGAAATCTGTAAAATTGTTTTGATTATCTTAGTTCATATCACGATCACAATTATTTTGTCACTATACAGTAAACAAGAGCTACCTCCAAAAAAGCTATATTGAAGAAGTAGACATTGTCACTATATATATTTAATCAATACATTGGTTTCCTGAGCATGAAGTAAAAGAATTAAACAGGTTGTTTTAGTTAGGTTTTCACAGAATCTTATCTTCGTATTTTACAGTGAATGCTTTTGACATATGCCAGGGAGGCAAAGAACATATTCTAGATTATCACACGAGAGAAACACAAAATGTGTTTGAGTTTCAATTTAAACTTCTGGTACATAAAAATATCAACTTAACTCTGTAATTTGTCTAGGTTTGCTTCTTTATCCACAAGAAGAAAAAAAAATTCCCCTATTGGTGTTCTAGGGACCTTACTCATAGGAATTACACTAAAATAATTAGCTTACTAATCAAATATGTTTGTCTAATCATATGGTAGTGACATAGACATATGAACAGAACTATGAAATTACACTTTTGTTTTTGGTTGTCAAAGAGAGATATTTAGATGTCTTGCAGGCTTCCATCTGTATTTTATGTGTTCCATGAAGTATAGCCAAAATAATAATGTCACAGGTAAACTTTCCTGTCTGTTGGTTGCACACTGTGCATCACATTGTATTTTTGTTTATTAAACAGAATTTGTCACCTTCCACCCCCAATGTAGTTTCCCTGGATTATTCATTGCCACTCAAATCTTGAATAATTTTACAGACTTTACTTGAAAGTATTCACGACTCTTTTTTCTTTATCTATTAGTCAGGCAAACAGATGAAAGTGGTTGATCTTTATGTTACTGTTATGAGTCAGATTCTTGACACTTTCTCTTTGTATTTTTGCCTTTCTAATGCTCTTCAAATGAAATAAATTCACATAGTCATGTCTCTAAGGAAGTCTCATGCTCATGTTTTATAGGAAGAATGGCCTAGGGATATATATCCTTTTAATAAATCTTTCAAGTAGTAAAAAGCACTTCCAAAGAAGAAAAAATGCTTGAAGTAGGTATCCAAATGAGTAAGATTTTATTAACCGTCTTTTTTCCTTCTTTCCATTGCAAAGGTTTGGAGTATTTGGAGGTTTGTTTATTTTTAGGCACATGATTTATGTCAAGCTATTTGCATGTTGCACTCCAGGGAGAACTGGTGGATGAGGACTGAAGTTGAGTTTTAGTTGGTTGTTGATTGATAAAACAAGCAACAGACGAGCCATCATGCAAAGAAACCCCTTAGGGTTAAGAATAGTCTTAGTCTATGTGAGTCTCTGCATCACATAAAGCCAAAAGATACAGCAAGTGACTCCGAGAGTGATGAGCTTGTATGTGTACAGGGGAATGGTAGTTACTAATAAAGAGAAGGGATATATCTCTCAGCAAACTATAAGGATAAGGCATGATTTTGTTACTGAATTTTATCCTGTCACATAATTTAATCCAGATGACACTATAAGAATAAGCACAAAAAAAAAAAAAAAAAAAAAAAGAAAAAAAAAGAGAGCACTGTGCTTTGGGTAAGTATGATACTACTAGAATGAATAGTTTTACGACGATTCTCACTTCAGTGTGGGAGTTCTCACACAAGTGAATGAACATGAACTTCATCTATAAAAACGCTTATTTTGTGGGTGGTTAATTATACATTCAGAAGCTAGAGAGTATTAAAAATGCTGTGAAACATAACTATAGAATACTCAAGCTAAAGAAAGTGGAGAAAGAAATTGATGGAATGGGAGATCCATTGAGAGATCTAAACTCAGTGCAGAAAATGCTAGTGTGCTAAGTGATTCAAACAAATAAGTAATGCTTTAGAATTATTATTTTAGCTTTCAGTCTGTACAAAGCCTTTGAACAATTTTTGTGCTATGCAGATATATTCTGTGTCTATTTTGATAAGTAAACTGAGAAACACTGGGAATAGATGGTAGTAGGGAGAAATTAAACTCTTATGTTTTTTATGGTATATACACATAGTGCTGTGGTATTCCTCTGAGTCAAGTTGTTGAATTGATTTTCCTCCTAAAATAGTATGAAAAGTCATATTTAAAATACTATAGATATGCCTACACTTATTTACTATGATTGCTTTCTAATGGCAAGAAAAGAATAACAAAACCAGACAAAAAGTTAATCAGAGCTGATTCACTTACCAGTAGCTGTGTATGCTTTTTGTACTGAGTTTTCAACTGACATTGAACTTTTGTGAATGTTTTTGTCTTCAATAAGTTCACTAGTTAAATAGTGTGATTTCTCAGAATTAAAAGTGAGCTAGCACAGCACAGGCTAGGTTTCTGAAAGTCTGGTGACATGACCAACTGCATTTATTTCAGGTGGTAAAAAAATTATTTCTCCACAGCTGTTGATGAGTGTCTCCTTAGTAATGATGGATTGAAAAATTATGTATGAATTACCTTTAGTGGTGACTTGAACAGATACATTTTATTCGGCGTTGCAGGAGCCTTGAAGAGCAATTGCTTATCTTGTATAAGCTTGAGGGGTAGACATTCCTTAATCCATTTCATCAGGATCACAAGCAGTTGTATAAACACACCCTAAAGCAGTTTTTAAATGGTCAGAGAATTTCACTTAAGAAGTGCAAATGCTACAGGGTATGTTGTGGGTAAAGATTCACAAGTAAACTAAGACTAGAGAGAATGAAATTATGACACTAATTATTTGGAAAAAGTAGGGAAGTTGAAGATTGTTAAGATTCGTGAATTCTTAAATAATTTCACACAATTTCTGTGGTTGTAACAGTGGTCAGTTCTCTTGTGAAATACATAGTTTTTATCCACAGTTCCCAAGCTGCCTATAAATTACTCTTATTTGAAGAAAATGCCATGCCTTCTCTCCTAAGTTATGATCAAGAGAAACACCTGAACTCCATCTACTACAGGTTTGGCTGAGCACATGCCTTTATGCTCATATGCCGTACTCCACCTAATATCCTTAGGATGCCAGTCATCCATACCTCTTGCTGATTCACATAGATGCTATTACTATATATTTTGAATGCTAGAATATCTTATAAAAATCACTATGTTGTTTTGTTTTGATCTAAAACTAACACTTCTAGTGGTGTTTTTATGAATGACATCAATCTCTCGTGTTGCAAAGAAAATAGGGTGTTTTTTCTTCTCTAGATTCAATAATAGTTGCTGTCATTATTCTATGATTCAGAATCTACTTAGAACTGGTTTGCTTTCATTTTCTGTTCAAAAATATGCAGTTTCCAGCTGATCTTTTATTCAATGTTTATTTTTAATCTGAACTGAAAACTTTCAAATGTATGTTGGCAAATCATAGTAATAGAGACGGTTTGCAAAATAGTCTCTATAAAAAGGGAACTGCTAGTATTTTGCAACTACACATGTAGTAGTAAATTATATTAGACTTAATTAAATTAAACAGAGCCTATGTAACTGGCATAAGATGGTCAATACTGATAAGGTGTCACAGTCTTAAAATTGTTTTTGGTTGTACAAATGAGCATCTTTCAACCTCATTCAGAAGTTAGTATAATTCAGGGAACATACTCAATAGGCACTTTGAATACAGCCAGCATTTTGGACAAAAAGAGCATTTAGCCATATGGAGGTAAATGGTGCCATGCCATTTGGCCTGGGTCCAGTGGCTGAACAGAGCAGAGAACAGGCACAGGGAAATTTTGTTTACTGTTCTAGACATGACCTTACAGTGCTTATATTTCAGCTTACAGTTTCTTTTGAAGTTAAAAAAATTATGATTTTGGATGAATTTTGCCATTGAAAACCTTTTATGAGATATTTTGTAATGATCCTCTGTGAACAAGTTGTTTTAAAAGAAACTTTGGAGTTTATTTAAATAAATCTGACTTATGATTTTCATTGTTGTTTTATTTTATAGGGAAATATAATATACACACACTAACAAGAGAAGCATTTCCCTATTTTCCCCATCTCTCATGGTATGTAAGACCCCTCACAGAAGTATATTCTTTCACCTGATTTATTTATTTGCATCAAATTTTAGTACCTTATACTTCCTGTGTTTTCTGGTCTCAGTAGACAGATTCCCAGACTCTGAAAAATTGTATATTTTTAGATTAGGAAGCTACTGGCTTTTTCTCCATGATATTAAACTTTCTAGTTGCAGTTGAGATATTTGTTGCTTGTATCAAGTGCCTTGTTGTCACATGAGTAGGAGTAGTTTAAAATTTTATGTTGCCTAGTTAAAGATTTTTTTTCTGTTGTTTTCCAGGAATGGTGGATGTCTGGACAACTTCTGACTTCTGACTTCATGCTCTTTATGGGAATCCTAACAAGAAAATACATGTACTTATGCTCTTGGGGATTTCTGACTGCCATTTTAATTTTAAAGTAACTTTAATGACAATGAAATCTATTTACAATGCATTTCATTCTTTCACATCTCCTATCACACTCAGATAATGCATTAAAAAGAAGCAAGCAAAAGTTACACTTTTTTTTTCAGAAATATATAATTTCTTTAAAAGAATTCTTCAGCACTGAACATAAGGCAATAAAATAAGCTCTTGTCACTTCTCCTGTCCTTCCTTTTGAAAAGAAAAGATGCATCTTTGTCTATGATTATGTGTAGAAATGGTCTTTTGATTGTTTGCATTCAGTGTCTGACCAAATTAAAAAACTCAAATATTTGAGAATGGTTTTTTGAATCCACCTATTCACACTTTCATTTGAACTGAGTGTCCCAAAGTTTAAACTGCTGGGGCTTTTTCCATTGGAAAAAAAAAATGCTGTGTGGTTCAGATTAGAGTATTGTAATTGTAGGAACAACTTGATAGTTTTCCATCCAAATGTCATGACACTTAAAGTAATAACTGTTAACACAACAATTTAAGATCAAAAATTACTTGAAATTTCCAGGCTTTAGGTTCATAGTGCAAAAGCAGAAAGATTTGATTCTATGGTTATGGACACTCTAAAAATTTTTTTACATTAGTATATACCTGAAGTTTCACATAATTATAATTATTTCTGTTGGCAGAATTATTTTTCTACTGCATTTTCTCTGATTTTACCTGACAAACTATGCCATATCTTTAATCCCTTGCTCACAGCTTTTTATAGAGGTAGAATGTTGTGAGAACTTAAAGAATGCAGTTGCATTTCTCAAAATACTGCTAAAGAAGAAAGTTCCAGTAAGATAAGCCACCGCATCAGGAACTTGAGATAAACACAAGTGGCAAAACAGGAAGGCCTTAATTCCACATCTAACAAAGGTGATGACTTGCAAGTTGCACACCAGAGTGTGCAGACAATGGGAACTTGAGGTAAGACTTATCTGGACCAAAAAAAAAAAAATTACGGTTCCAAACTGTTGGGAAGGATACACATGCCATCCTAGATTGTGGGAATCTCTGCTCTGTGGATACCTGGGACTTGGGATGTACAGAAGTGCTTTTGTACAGAAGAATGACTCTAGGACCCCACCACACAAGACTGGGGTGAAGAAGGACCAGCAGGATGCCAAAAAAATCTACGTGGTAATGATATCTTTCTACTTAATCTCTCTCTTACTCTCCTTCTTTTCTCCCCTTCTCCCTTCAAATTTCTCCTCAAAGTTTGAATGAATTAAAACTGACAGATATTTTTCTGGTTTTTAAAATTGCTTTTAATGCAAAGTCAGTATTTTTTTTTCATTTTATTCCAGTAGGTTTTAGCAGTTCCATAAGATTACATATAAGTTAAATTTAAATGTAAAATTGAGACACAACTTTCTTTGTAGCTCCAAGTTTGTAAATAAGGACTGAAATATTTTTCATTATTTTGTAATAAGCTGAGCTTGGCAGTTTCATTGCTACAGCATATAACTAATAAGAAGGCATAATTAACTAATAAGGTTAGTAATTAGCATACTGTTATGATCAGAACATGTGTTACCTGTCCAGTAGATGTTATATGGGCAGTACAAAGCACTGCCATCTAGGAAACCTAAAACGAGAAGGCTTATTATTTCAGATAATCTAAAGAAAAGGACTGAAGAAAATACCAAGTAACAGAATCATTATGGTAAACTTTTGGGCAATTTTCTTATTTGCCCCAAATATTCATATGTACAGTTTGACTATCAGGATGTAGGTTTTAAGCGGGGACAATGGCTATCTTTCCTATTCTTTTAAGCTAAAAATACATTATTGTCAGCAAACATTCAGTTTTCAGTTGTTTTTGGAAGACAAACAACTTCAGTTTCTCAAGTCTCTTTGAATTTCAGTATAGCCTCCAAAGCTTTGTCCAGTCTGAAGTCTGCAAATTGAATAATGTACTCTATTTCCTGTTATGAAATGATAAAGTATTCAACAGTAGTTAGGGAAAGACAAATACATATGTAAACATGCACAACATTTTTTCTTGTACAACTGTGTGCAATGAATAGCAGCCAACTGCATTTTTCCAACCATTAATACTCTTACCTTGTGGCAGACTTTCCTTACGGTAATTTTCTAGGTCATTAAAGAAAATAGTACCAGGTACTCTTTGAAATAAATTTAAAATCCTAATATTTCAAACATACTAATGATATGAGGTATCTGGTTGAATGAAAGGTGTTAGGGCATAATGTGCTGGTTGACAGTAAACACCTTTTAATATTCCATATTTTTATATTAACATATTCTTCTTCAATGGGACCCAGTTTGCCAGGGAAGTTTCCCTTACTTTAAAAAAAAAAAATATTGTTTTTGCTATTTTCTAATGTTTTGGAAGGTCATTTATTGTCTTTACTTAGCCATTTTTCTAAATCCCCTGCAGAAAAGTTCACCAACTTGATGAAATTTCTTCTGACCTATACCTAAGTAACTTTTTTCACTTATTTTGTCCTAGTGTGATGTCCATTAATCCCTAACCTCCTTAATGAAAGCTGAAGCAAAAGTGTGGACACTTCATCCTTCCCAGCATCAATGTTTGGTGCTGGGAATGAGCCAAAGTAATGACTTGGCTCTTTCTTGCTTATCCTTTTGCTTCTGATAAACTGACAGTATGTATTCCCTCCTTTGTCATGGCTATCTTGGCTACTGTTAACTTACTGAAGACAGGGAAATGATCAGTAGACCAGTAACCAAAGGCTGCTGAAATTTAGCCATTTTCATGGCAACTTATTCTTGAAGATGACTAGTGACAGATTTGCAAAAAGGAGCCAGAAGTAATTTAGCAGTTAAACATTGCAGATGAGCAGGAGTGAAAATCTTTCCCATGTCTGAATTGGAGAGAGATGGATTTGACAGGTGGAGTGTTAGGTGAATGAGGAGTCAGTGGGAAAGTTGCATCCAGACAGAAGTGGTCAATGACTCGGAGTCCCTGTGGACATCAGAGATCAATGGTATCCCTCAAGAGTCCATATTGGGACCAGTGTTATTTAATACTTTCATCACTGACGTAGGCACTGAGATCAGGTTCACCCTCAGCAAATTTGCAGGTGACACTAAGCTGAGGGGTCCTGTTGATGCACCTGAAGGAGGGGATGCCATCCAGAGGAACCAGGACAAGCTTGACAAGTGGGCCTATGGGAATGTCATAAAGTTCAATAAGATCAAGTGCAAGGTGCTGCAGCTGAGTCGGGTGAATCCCCAGTATCACTGAGGGCTGGGGTGAACAGATGGAGAGCAGCCCTGCTGACAAGGACTTGGGTGTGGTGGTGTTATTGTGAACCAACAACATCCATTTGGACCAGAAAGCTATAGATACCCTGGTCTGCATCAGAGGCAAGTCAAGAGAGGTGATTTCTTGCCTTCTACTCCTCTCTGGTGCCTGGAGTGCTGCATCCAGCTCTGCAGTCCCCAGTACAGGAAAGACTCTGACCCAGCGGAGCAAATCCAGAGAGACAGCTGTGGATGCAAGAGGGGACCCAAGATGATTAGAGAGATGGAGCATTTCTCCTACAAGGAAGGGCTGAGAGAACTTAGTTTGTTCAGTCTAGAAGAGAGAAGAATTCGGGGTGACCTAATTGTGGTCTTCCAATACCAGAACTGAGCATACAAGAAAGATGGAGGGAGACTTTTTGCAAGAGCATGTAGTGACAAGACAAGGAGGGAATGGGTTCAAACTGAAATAGGGGATGTTTAATTAGGTATTTAAATTTTTTTTTTTTGCTGAGAGGGTGGCAAAGCACTAGAGCAGATTGGCCAGAGATGTTGTGAATGCTCTATTCTTGGAAGTGTGGATAGAGTTCTGAGCAACCTGGTATAATGAAATGTTCCCTGCCCATGGCAAGGAGATTAGAAAAAGATCATCATCCATTCCAACCAAAACCATTCTATGGCTCTATGTGGATTTCAAGTTCAATAGCAATCTGAAATTTATCTTCAGATTATTAATATTGGTATAATTTATAATTTTTTTAAAGGCATAACTTATTCTCAGAAAAAAGAAAAATTGAAATAAATTTCTCATTGTTAAATATGCTTTTTTTTTAAATTAGTGAATATATATCTTTATATCTTTAACGATAGCTGTTCACTGATATCTGACTCTCAAAGCACCTAACATTTAATCATAAATTAAATCTTTTTGTTAAGTAGACTGTATGCCATTCTCAAATAAACTGGCTTTTATGCCTCTTGATATGTATTTAGTAAAATGTGTATCAAAATCAAAATTGAATTTTAGATCTATTTTAAACTTTGTTGAGCACCATTTATCTCTTCGTAATAGAAGAACACATTCCTTTTAATTGGAAATTTATGTGAAATACTGTCCTGATTAAATTTAGATTAGTATTCATTAACATTTGACAGTGTCCAAGATTAAAAAAAGAAGGTTTTCCTATTTATCATCTGAGTAGGAGTTGCCTTGGGGCAGTTTTCCTTATCTGCTGTTAACAGCCCCATCAATGCCTTGCCACATGACTCAGAGATAACACTGTCCAGGAGCAGGTGATTAAGGACACACCTCGTGACTCATAATGACCCACTGTAAGATGCTCTGCCCAGGGGGGAGGAGCTAGGCATTCCAACCTGGATAAAACTGGGGATTTCTAGACAGAGGGTCAGCCTTTTCAGGGGTTCTCCGAGAAGACACAGCAACTACATCTGCCATCCCAAGAGGACTGCAGCTACTCCAATTTGGACTGCTACCAGCACGCTGGCCAGGTTGTATTCTGACTTTGTCAGTAGTTTTTCCCTTTGTATTATTGCATGTTTTTTTGTCCTTTCCCCCTTTTCTCAATAAATTGTATTTCTGACTTGGAGTCTCTCACTGGTTTTGCTTTCAAACCAGAACAGACAGTAAACAGTTCTTGGAAAATATCACAATATAGCATCTATTTTGATTAACCTAAATTGTATGAGAAGTAATAGTATGTTGTATTTGCCTCATGTTTTCCATGTCAATACAATTGATAAGGAAAACACTGAGGACACAAAAAAGAAATTTTATAAGCCTTAGTACTGCAGCTACATCAGATGTGCAGATCCAGCAAGTTTTAAGGTTAAATTACCATCTTAGTTACATCTACAGTATATATAAAGGTATCATAGGGTTGAAAATATGAAGAATCCTGATGACCAGGAAACCTAAAGACAATAGAAATATAAAATAACACCTAAAAAAGATATTTAACTGAAAGTGTTGTCTACAAGTGAAAGTATTGTATTTGAGGTAGGTCTAGATGGGTATGAGTTAGGCATCTTCATGAGAGAATTACAGAGCTGAAAGTCCCACCGTAAGTTTTTGATCAAATTACAGTAGACTTAATAGTGCAACATCTTTTATAGACTGGGTCATAAACTGTCTAGGATATTTCCTTTGGTAAGAATAAAAATGCAAAACACAAAATTTGATGGAATATACTGAAAGAAATTAAATGTCAATATTTACATTTCAGCCTATGTCTTTTTTGATTGATTTCTGGGTTTTCCACATAATTTTTTTATCCTTTTCAGAAATGTAAGCTAGAATGTTGTACCAGGCACTTCTGCAAGGAGAAGAAATAATTTGTGAAGCATTGCCTGCTTCTGAGTTCCAAAGTCACTGCCACCATTCCTACGCTCATCCATGTCTCCACCAGCTGACTGTAGAGTGATGTTGAGGCTGTAACTTCCATGGCATCTTAACACCAGAAGGGACTATTTCAAAGATACATTTGAAAACTGTGTCTGAATGTCAGAGTTGCTGAAATATGACAATTTTAATGAATATGACTCATGCCAACTTGGAAAAAGAAACCAATAATGGACAGCTAAGTGAGAGCTTTGTGTACATATTTAAAACTGAAACCATACCAGATTATACTGTTTTCTTTTTTAAATCTGCCTGCATATAAACTCTTCCTTCTTTGTCTCTTAAAATAATTAAATAGCATCCTATAATTTGGCCACATAGGAATCCTTTTTCCATCTGGCCTGTACCGTATGAAATTTGAAATACTTCATGGTTTGATAAGCTTGCTTTTTTATTGAATACACTAAAGTGCTCTAGAAAAAGATCCTTATTGGAATTCGTAATGTTGCAAATGAAGGATAAATCTATAGAAAGTGAGATGGGAGCTTTCATTTCTTTATATCCATATTTAATTGCTTCTGATCAAGAAAAGAAATGATCATTACTGGGCTAAACTTCTGCTGATTCCTTCTGAAAGTTTATGGTTTTCCTGCTCAGAATTCATCATGTGTTGCTCCTTATATGGAGCAAGCGGTATAAATCTAAGATAAATGAAGTGAAAATTATTTTAGTTTAATAAAAATTTATGAAAAGGTAATTTTGCAAAGAATGTATAAGATTTAGAGATGGATGAGCAGAAGGACTGCACAATTAGATTCTGTTGAAATTTACTTAATAATAAAGGCAATACATATTTAATCTTCTTGAAGCAATGGATTCTTTAACATGTAGCACTCGATTCTCAGCTCAGTAAATTACATTTTTTTCAGTTTATTTTTTATTTTGTTAAAAGCAGTGAATTTGTTAAAAGGTTGTGAATATTTAAATTTCTCCATTTGATCATAAAGGCTTCATGGAAAAAAAATCAAACTGAATAAGGAATTTAACAAATGCTTCTGAAAAGAATTTTCTTTCTTCTCCCTAGTGCATGTTTTATGTACTTAAGTTTTATAGCTTTCTCACTGATACCATTTAAGAGAGTTGCAGTCCAGCAATGTGTATGTGTATGCATACATTGCCAAATATTGAGTAGATGTCATTTTATCACAATAAATTCAAGATACTAATTCAAGTTCTTCCTCAGGTACAGGAAACCAAATGTCTCAGATCTCAGGAAAAATTTTCCTAGCAGTTTAATCTATCCCATGTGTGTGCACAATCTTTGTTGTCTACCTTTTGCTTTTTTCCCATCTCCATAGTTTCATAAGTCAAAAAGAGAAGCATTCTGGTACTATTAAAAGTAAAAATTGTTAATTGCACTTAGACAAATCCTAAACTATGAATACCAGCAATTACAAAGAAAATTCAAGAAAAGTATTGCTTTGATCTCTCCAAATTAATAAATGTTGACATCATATTTCCAATGGATCCAGTATTCTTATTTCAAATTATATCTGCAGCTGAAAGATCCAAAGTATGAATTGCATTAATTGTGTGGTAACATTTTTGTCAAAATTTTGTTCTTGGTAGAAGTGATGAGCAGATGTGGAGGCTGTCAGGAACACGACCCCACGTGGAGACACTGTTGATTTTCTTTTCCAGGTGTGCTCCTCTAAAGTGTCTTTATTGCAGGCTGACTTCATTATGCTCAGAGGAACAGGTTTTGTCTACAGTCCTGATTTAGACTACAATATAAGGTACACCCAAGCAGCACAAATTTCAACATTAACATACCTTATTGTTGCTTTTCCTTTATCCTGACTCTCTTTTTGCCACCTCTCTTTCTATTCCCCAATCTCCTCCTAACTGACCTCAATTACTTCTTCCCTACTGATCTCTGTTTTGCTGCATCCTTATCCCAATTTTTTATTTCTGTGACCATTTCTTATGTTGTCTCAGACTCAGTGTAGGTCATTGCTGACGTAGTTACCTTGTCACTGCTTGCCTATGACAAACTGCCATCCTGAAGATCCCACGTTATCCCTCCAATTATCTGTGAAGTTTGACCATTTTTTGGATAATTGTGCCTTAACCATCTGTGCACCCATGCACATGAATACCTCATGGTACTCTCTAATTCATTTTAGCTTCTCATACTGTTACCTCTCACATCCAGCCATTTCCCATGCCATGCCGTTCCAGCTCAGTTAACTTTATCTCAAGGCACGGTCATAGCCAACAGCATAGTCATGGGTTTGCAGCCCTGACAAGACTCCACACTTTATGTAAGTTCACAGCTGTTTAAAGCCAATCATCATGTCTATGGACACTTAAGTACAGACATAGTATTTTACTATACTATTAACACAGGCAACTAAAGGGACTAAAATGACAATGATAGAAGTACAATTTTTTATGGCAGAGATAAGAGATAAATGCCCCTCACTTTTGTGCCTCTCTTCCGAACATACCTGTGGTCAGTTAACTTTTCCAGTAACATCACTAAAAGTATTTGTCATTGAGATATGTCAGATAACTATTAGAACCATCTGGCTTTGATTCCTTTTCTCAAACACTCTAGCCTTCCATAAAAGTTTATTTCTATGCTATTACCATATTTATGCATCATCATTTTACGCCATGTTTTACTTGTTGCTTGTTTCTTTATTAACTTTCACATCATCTTCTCACTGAAATTACCCATACTGTAAAAACATACTTTCACATCTCTTATTAGAAAAAAAAATTCTCTTCTAGACTTCTAGGTTTCATTTAAATGATTCTTACAAAATTTGAACAAGGAAAAAAGTTACAAAGCTGTGGCTGAGAATTTTACAGTCCATTGTATTTATGTTTTCTGTATGAAGATTTGTCATCAAGTATGAGAATGAAAGATTTTAGCTTATTAAAAACTAGTCTACATTTGTGAACACTGCAAACACAATAGAATATTTCATTATGTTAAAATGTTATTAAAAGCAAACTGTGATTTAAGAAGTTAATTAAAAAATGCACTCAAAGTCAATTCTGCTTTTAGAGGTATTGATTGTTCCTTCAGTACTCTTCATTTTAGCTATAAAGAAAATTGCCACCAATTGCTGGAGTTTTACTTTGAAAACTTAAAATTATTATTTCTATTTTAGATATTTATTGCATTTTATTATTTATTTATGGAAGAAAATGTAGCTGAAGCATACCTATCAGTTATTACAATTTTGTACACTAAACTCCACAAAATATTTATGTATTTTCCTAGTGTGGAAATAGACCAGTAGTGAATCTGGTTTCCCATACACATATTGTCTGGAACTTGACCCTTCTCTGAATATTTCTTACAATTAAAGTGTTTTTGATAGAGATCAAAATAGCGGAAATGCAAAGTTTATAATCTCTAGTTCCCCTGTACTGTCTTCAGGTCTTTTTTCAAATGTCATTTAGGTTCCAAGGCAGATTTTAGATGATAGTTCTGTGGCCAGAAGACAGAAATTGGTAAGAACATAGGATAGAGTAAGTGTAAGGTCATGCAAGTTGTAACTGAGTTCCAGACTGTGCACACTAAAAATCTATTGTGCTCAGATATCACATGCGGTTTTGAAAGTTAAATCTGTGCTTTGCTTTATAGTCAATGGTAAGATCTGGCACCATCAGTTGCCTTGCCATTCAAAGTGACATGACAGTTATAACACAGTCCCTGTGTCCTCCTCTTTCTCCCCTTCAAATTACAGCTGCATGAGGCATCTTCTACTGACAATATTTTTTTATATTTGGCATATTTCATTTACTAGTGCCTATTTGTTAGGAATTTTTTCACATAGTGTTTTAAGCATTTTTTGCTATGGTGTATTTAGAAGTCTCTGATTTGTCTGTGCATTGTGTTTGTGTTTAAACAATAGAAATTCTTAAATGTTGTGCTAGCTCTTAACCAAACGTATTACATGGACAGATAGAAATAAGATGTTTGAGTCTCAGATGCGCTTGAAAGTTGGATGGCACCACAGCCACTAAGTTCTCTTGTCAGTACTTCTTTAGTTGTAATTTAATAAACTGTTTATTTGGATTTATATAGATGCTAGAAAGAATAACTGGTCAAAAAACTCAAATCCAATGAAGTTAGTGCCCAACAGAAATGACTGAAGCACAGACTAACCTCATTAGACTTCCATGTCATATTATTCCTCTTTGATAGAAAGCTACCTGTGTGTATGGAATAGTTTTGGCCAAGTGCAATTGAGAAGTAAAAGTCCTCTATGACTGAAAGTGATGCTACAGAAATGGCCATGTAAATGATGAGAGGAAGAATGGTTAAGAAGGGAAATTAAAACCAAAACAAAAAATAAGCAAATAAACCCTCCTTCTGCACTTGATTTGGCAATTGCTATGTTCCTTCTGTTGTTCTGAAAGTTTTTTGATATTCATGCACTTTTTGGCAACAGTATTCTGGCAATATGATGGAAGGAACTGGGAGAAACTAAGGTGTCAGAAGACATGACAGAAGAAACCTTTTCATAAAACATATGTCTTCTGTTAGAGCTGGGCATGAGTTCACTGATAAAGATCTATAGTATATTTCTTCCTCCTATTTTAATGTTATTTTAATGTAATTTGTATGGTCTAATTAACATTTAAAAAATATATGCAGAATGTTTTGGAAGTATTTTTCAGGATTTCATTTTCATTGAAAACAGAGAATAATTGCAATGTGTTAGCCTGGCATTTAATAAGATAATTCAGAATCATAAAAAAACAAGGAATTATGTTTCTTTAAGTTCTTGTTTAAGCTGCCCAAATATACTCAGCTTGTGTACAAATTTGAATTAATAACACAACACATAATAAAAATAATACATTTTTTCTGTCATACAAACATCTCTCATTATGATCCTCAAATATAATTTATCCAGAGCTGTATAGTCCAGAAAACTCAAGACTGCCTTCTGAGTTCTCTAAGAGCTCAAATCCCTTTTCTTGCTCCCATCTAGATAAGTCATATTTGTTAGGTATCCCTTCTCACTTTCAGCAGAATTCTTGGGCAGTTAAGGAATTATTTTTACTTGATTGTTTGGTTTGCTTTTTGTTTGTTTGCTTACTTTTGCAGAAGCAATTATAGCTGTGTACTCCAAAATATGTCAATCCAATTTCATGACAAAAACTGTTTCAATTATGTTAAAAGCAAAATCTCTTCTGTTGTAGCTCCAAAATTGTTTCATGTAATTACTCTCTATATACTTTCTTTATGAACTGCTCATTTGGAAACAGTAAAAAGATAGTATTTACAAAATATTGCTATAACAAACATTTTTCCAGTATGATTAACATACTCCCCATTAATATAAATAAACAAACAGTGTGTTTTGTGAAATTAATTTGAGTTTAAATTTGGAATGGAATTTAGGCACTGCAGCATATTGTGATTCCTCATTTTTAAGTTCATTTTTCAGATATGTTCATTGTAGACTGAAATCCCAGTCATTTTTGGTGGACTATTAGCTTCCTAAACAAATTGACACACTTGAAACTGACTAGAGTGCTAAATGATGAGCCAATAGTTAGCCAGTAGTGAGAAGTATCTGTTCAGAGTCATTACTCTTCAGACAATACCAGTCCCCAGGGAGGCTGTTTTCTCCATTTGTGATTTACAGTCCTTCTTCTGAAGATACAGAGCACAGCAAGAAGAGTTTTGTTTCCCTTTCAACAGAATTTTATTAGGATGTTGTAGATGTAGATTTAATTTTAAACATAGGTTTTTTTCTGGTGGGTTCGGTTTTGTTTGGGTTTGTTTGTTTTTTGGGGTTTTTTTGGGTTTTTTGGGGTTTTTTTTTTGTCATATGCCCCGTTCTCCAGTAAACAGATTATTGTAGAATAAAGATGCAATTTGAGAAGAGAGATTTAAAATATTTCTTTGTCATGATAAAAAGAGAAAAACATGCATAATCTACTGAATGATCTTATCTATCTGCATATCAATTAATTCTGTCATTTGTAGCATCTTAATTTGTTTGGTATAAGAGTAATAAAGATGTAGTTCTCTGCCTGCACATGAAAATGTGTTTAATTAGACTGGTTTACTTTGCAATCCAGATACTAATGCAGTATTAGACAAAATATCATGTGATTTTGTTAAAAATCAATGGGATTCTTATGTGAAGTGTTTTGTTCTTTTTATTTATGCATGTGCCATCACTTCTCCCACAATCCTTTTGATTTCAGATTAATCCTTTGCAGAGCCCTTTCCAGAAAGGATTCTGCTGAGAGAACTGACCCCTTCTGTCAATTGAATAGATTTAGGTACACACAATTAAGTAATTTGAAAATACTTATAATTTAATAAGCAGATTGGACATTGTAACTTTTGAATTGAAAGATTTATATAATAGAATTGTGGCCCATATTTTTATATTACTTGAGAACAAGAAAAACATGTAGAACAGTCCTCAAAGTTTAAAATTCTGCTTAATTTCTTCTTGAATGCAATATGTTAAGTATTTCACCTATAATTAGTCTATTTTTTTACATCCGGATGTCCAAGAACTTACTAGAAATTGTTATTGCAACTGTTAGTTTTTTATTTGAACCAGTTAACCTATTTTAGGTCAAATTATTTTTTTCTTAGGGAAGTAATTGGAGTGTCTACTTGACCTATTGTTGAGTTCTAAAATCAAAACAGGCTGACAGTTTATTTAGCTGTGTCTACATATTAATACCAAAGACATTCTGGGACAAAGTGTCTTTTATCTGGTGCCCCTAAATTCAAGATGAGCACTTGCAAGGTGTGTACATGACCCTGACAGATTTAAGGTTCTTGAATTTTGTTTTTGCCGAGAAGAATCAGTAATATAGGATTAGACATTATTTTAATGATTATTTATCCGAAGAGTAGCCAACACTGCAACACAAAATTAATTTAACATACTTCATCTGCTGTTGGATTGTATCTCCAGGTTTTATTTCTCTTGTGAAAATAATTAGGACTATCTTTCCACAATGTGTAGGCTTTTCATTTCCTTTTCAGTGCTATTTTAATTCTTAAAAACTTCTTGGATACTGAAAATAATATTTTTATCGAATTTTGAATGCTACTGATACATGTTACCAAGATAAATTTTATGTTCATTCAAACATATGAAACAAAATAATATTGATTACCTTTGTAAGATGGTAGTTATTAAATTGTGAAATTATTAGCCTCTGACATGAATGAGAGCTAAATGTGAATGCCATATTTCAAAGGGCACTGTGAGTTCACTTGTTGAACTTAATAGCTCATTACCTAAGGAATATTGGGCTGGTTATTCTTGCCAAGAACTACACATAAATAGATACAATATGAAATATGACAAAATTAATACCTAGCATAAATCATTGCTATATTGGAACAATATTATTGGAGAATAACTCAAGCCCACTCTCCCTACAGTAATTCACATTCAATAAAACAATATAATATTAATAAATTGGATTTCTAAGTTACAAGACATTCAAAGAAAACAGGAGCTCTGATAATGATGTTGGCTGTCTTGCTCATTTAATTACAATGCAGCAATAATTTATCGTAAGATTAATAAAATATGGCAACTGGTATGTTTTTTTTCTGGTGGCACTGCTGGTTCGGCAAATGCCATATGTTATTTGAATTTTATACTGTGTTGTCTTTAATTGTGTACTTGTAACCATAAAGAGCATTTCTGTGTTACAATTAATCCTGATAAACAAACATCCACATTAGATTATAGTTAGATAATTTTAATTACATAGATATATTTTCTCTGCATTGCAGTGCCAGAGATAAGTCTCTTGTTATGTTCTCATCCATTCACATCTTCTGATATAGAACACACTTTGATTATGCTTCCCAAAATCTACTGTGGAAATTAGCTTCAGTGGGCAGTCTTAGAAGTCTTGCTGGCATACAGATTTGACTATTAAAAGCTGATGAATAGACTAATAATAAGTAATAGTAAAAGAGTAATAAGTAATCCATGTATCCAGGCTGGAAAGTAGCTATGATTTCTGGAGGCCTTTCTGAAG